TTGGTTTCAAATGTTTTTTTTTAATTAATAACATTACTTATTAGTGAATTAATTTTAAAATAGTTTAATTAAAACTTAAATTTCATAAAAATGACATTTTTTTCAAGATAATGTTAAATAACGTTAGGTACCATCTTGCACTGACCCCTTCAATTATTGATAAGCTTTGACTATGAATATAAACAAGTATTTGTTTTATGCATATGCGTTAAAATAGTTTGTGATGTATAAATCAGCTTTAAAATGTCAGCGAATTTGATTGCTATTTGGTCACATAAAACATGTTTAAAATAAATTCCTGATTTTTTAGTTACAGCAATATAAAAACTGGCGTTCTTTCTGACATCATCTATAAAGTACAAAATATTTTTTATAATAAAATATATACGAATCAGACGCTGCTGCTAACATGTGAACATACGTCAGTTATATTGTACAGTACACGTAGAAATAATTATCAAGCTATACCTTAGATAAAAGTAGAATACAGCAACAACAATTAAAACAACAAAACTAATAACGAAACAAACAAATAATAACAGAAGATATACATTTACACGAACGAAATAAGTAATTTTCCAGTAATTCACAATAATTAATCTCCTCCTTTGACAAATATGCGTAATATTATCAGATGCGCATGCGCGAACACGATAATCATCAAACTCCGCGCACCGGTTACGCTACCGCAAGTAACCACTGCCCTCATACAAATAACGTGATGATAATGTAAAAATGGCGTTCACGGCAATGAAATCGTTGAATTTTTTTTTATTTGCAATAAACATCGTCATTAAAACTTAAACTCTGGTCTCAAATATGTCGATATGATTGAAAAATGATTCATTTTTGTAAAGCGTAGAGTCGAAATTGATGATTACTGGAATGATTTCTCTTTCGAGAGGGGCCATTGTTTTGGAAATAAAAGGTGCGGTAATAAAATTTTTAAAAATTATTTTCATAATATTTGTTTCCAAAATTATTTTTATTTTAGTTCACATCTAACACCTTACGGTCTTGAAACATTGGCAAAACCGTGTTTACTTTTTAAAATAAATTGAAAAAAAATTCATATCGTCAAAAAACTTGACGAAAATGTTGTGATGGCAGAGATCTTATCCTGTAAGGGGAGATCAATGCGTAGGAGATTGGATAATCATATGATTTTAAGGAAAATAAACAATTTCTGTTGTTTAAGAAATCGTCATTGGTGTTGTTTCCGAACTGTACGGTTGCTTGCTACCTCGCTGCATGGTTGCTTTGGAAAATAAATTAAAACAGTGAACAGTTGCTGGAGAGTCAACTATTTTGTAATTTCTTGATATTTTATTTGTTTTACTTATTGTCTAAAATCTAAAATCCCAAATAAAACGGCGCTTTTACATGTCAATGTTTTGGAAGTGGGGAAACAACACCAACAATGTACATCTAACTTATGTAATGCTTTGCATTACAAAACTGTTCACATTTGATTATGGAATGCCTTATATGCATGAAGTGTGTGCGTGTTTCGACTGCTCTCAATTCTCTATATGTTATCATAAAAATATAATTAACCTTCTTCATCATTGAAATTCAATATTACGACAAAGATCCGAACAATTGATCTAGTGATCAAAAAGACGGACAATACTTGAAATACCGAAACAAAATACCGAAACAAAAACACGGATGACTGTTTTTTTTTTCAGATTATGCAAGCAATAGTACAGTGATGTATTTTCTTAACGAAGGTGTTCTGTTAAAATATTCCCTCATACTCTGACAACTGGATAGTGATTCTTCAGTTTTGCACAAATGTTAGACGTAAACTCAAATGTTAGACGTAAAACTCAAAATTGATGCTTGAAGTCGACAAAAAATATTTTTTGAAAGAATTGAAGAGAGAAAAATCGCATTATTATTTAAAAAAAAAAAAGATATGTATTGCCACAAAACACGTACCGTGAAACATTAGTTTTCATGTAAGTCCCACAAATAAAAATAAAAGATTTCTTCAATTATCGATTTAACTGAACGACTGTACCAGTATTTCAATCAAAATTTGCGTTTTGCCGCTGTATAACTCACTTGCAGGCGGAGTTACAGCAGACAGTTGAGTGTGCGATTAAACAAACCAAAAAAGACAACTTAATTATTTTATGTGTTTTGTTGGTGGTTTTGTTAACTTAAAATTATTATTATATGTAAAACAAATTAAATATTCCAAAATTAAAAAAGAATATTTTACCTCATGTGAAGAGTTGCCATGTGTAGAAATATAAAAAAATGTTCATCTCTTGGATAATCTGCAGGTTGCTAGATTTATGACTGTGCACCAAAACCGATGAATTGCGCTGTGTTGTCAACTTCTTAAAAACCTGTATATTTTAAAATGTAGATATCAATATCGATTTAAATAAAAATCATTTTCATTTTTCATATCATCTTGAAATAGAAAAAAAATCAGCGTTCTTAATTTTTGTACAAAGAATACTTGGCAGGTCCTTATTTTGAATGCATATGACATTTTTTAATACGCTAAGTATGTTAATCTAAAACCATATATAACAAAGTAGTAGTGTGACAGTCGGGGCTAAAATGAATATTGGGTGCTCACAAAATATAACAAAGGTTTCTGAGGCGCATCCCAAATTATGTTTCAAATGAATGAATACTAAACATATCCAGTTTATAAAAGTCCATACTTTATTAGTGAGAATCGATAAGTTATATTCATTCAATTCCATACCTTAGACGAATATATCGATATTTAAAAATATCATAGCCTTTGTTACTTTATCTTATGATAAAACACTTACATGTAAGACCGGTGGACATTGCCGATACGATTAAGTGCATTAATAGAGGGATATAAAGATGTTAATCCTTTCTCTTGTAAGATTGGCAGATTGAAATTACCAAACTTTTTGTGTAATTGAATGAAATATTACATACAATGGATGGTCAAATGAATAAAAATGTTTACTATAATAAGGTAAACGATTAGTTTTAATACTAGACTGGCTGGATAACTGATCATGGTTCATTTTCGTTTGATTCTTAATAATAAAAAATGTCGCACCGTGTTTTACCAGGCAGTTAATTAAATCGTACTAAATTGCTAATACCAGAGATGTAGATAGTGTATCTATGTCTCTGTTAATACACAGTACCCAAGAGATAATTTGAGTTTCAAAAATGTTTGTGTTCTGTAGTTTCAAAAAACGGCTGCGTAATTATAATTAATTGCGAGATAATTGGCGTTATGCGAAATCTTGTATTTTAATAATCCTTTTTTATTAGAGGGGAGATAATCATGTCCTGTTATAATGTTCATTGGGTTATACTAGTTTCCTCCCTTTTGAAGTCAGGTAACGGCTGTTTTTCATTTTGTTATGTATTTTCACATCATAATGTTTAATTTAAACGATCAAAATATTGTAAGTTTGTGAAATTATGTTATACGAATATACCATTCATGTTGACATGCTACTGAAATAGTTAATTTGCATGTGAAAATGCTGAAAATTTAATCTTTATTTTTCATCGTTAGAGCACATGGTCCAAAATGGAACAAAATGGCTGCAAGATCGTAATTCTACTTAAAATAGCATATAACACAAATATGCTTTAGCCGATAGAAGGATAATGCACAGGAAAATTAAATTTATCATGGAATAATTAATTATGCAATTTGCACACCTGAATATGGGATAGGCCTAAATGAAATTGCATGTAGATGATGCAGTAAATCTGTAAACTGAAGACGCATTATTATAGTTTTTAACAATATCTATATATTCCGAATGTTAGTATAAATTATAAATTGCATGTTTTTTTTATTTCCTTTTTTTTCTGGGGGGGGGGTTGCATATATTTGTATGATACTTCCGACTTCCGGAGTTATAAATATTTGCACTAATGTTTGACTTGCCAATACGCCATATGGGCGCGCAGTCAATAACTTTTGTGCCAAATGGGCTATTATATTATGCCCCATGGGCTATGTATGCATATATTTGTATAATACTTTCGATTTCCGGAGTTATAAATATAGGCCCTAATGTTTGACTTGCCAATACGCCATATCGGCGCGCAGTCAAAAAAATGTTGTGCCCAATGGGCCTTAACATGCCAAATGTGTTTTGTATGCATATATTTGCATGATATTTTCGATTTCCGGAATTATAAATATATGTTCTTATGTTTGACTTGCCAATTCGCCATATGGGCGTGCAAAAAAAAATTGTGCCAAATAACCCTTTTTTATCATGCCAAATGGGTTTTTTGTTCACATATATTTGTATGATACGTCCGACTTAAGGAGTTATAATTTATTCTTTAATTTTTGACTTGCCAATACGCCATATAAGCGTGCAGTCAAAATTTGGTATGCCAAGTGGGTTTTTTATCATTTTATTTATATATAGATATTTATATATATAGATCTATATAACTATATTATTTGTATGAATCTATATATTTGGAGTTAACAGTATAATTCTTTTTCAAGATATATCTAAAATCGCAAAACAAAAATGTTTTATGCCAAATGGGCATTAGTTTTAATAATCAATTTATTCTGTATGATTAATATAGTTACATAAAAGTAAATTAATATGTTTGTGTGTTTTTTTTGTTTAATTTTACGCCTTTTTCGACAGTATTTCAGTCATATAGGCGGGTAGTTTCCTAACAATCGTTCCTGGAGAGTTACACCAGTACTTGACTACCTTCCTCCGCGCTAAACTACCAAAGCATCTCCCGGGGATCGAACCCATGCCAGAGAGGTAACTTGATTAGAAGTCATCGACTCTAACCACTCGACCACGGAGGCGGTCAAATTAATATGTATATAATTTTTGACTTGCTTAGGTCCATTAATAATATGTATGCCAAATGGGCTTCTATTCAGATTTATAATGTGTTATGCGATGTGCACATTAAATGGAGGTTTTTATGACAATTATTGAACTTGTAGTTATCATAACATTTATTTTGATTTCATATATGTCAATATGCCACGTGGAAGAGGTGCCTCACGTCGTCGTGGAAATCTTAGGCAACAGGTTGATCATATGAGAAACCAGACCCGTTCACATTCTCACCCTAGGCATGTTCCACCTTCCCAACCAGAACCACAGGACAGGGCAAACTTACATGACATGGTCAGCTTACATCAAGCACAAGATACCCCCATGTACCCTCAAGCTGAACCACAACACATGAATTTTCATCAAATGCCAGTTTCATTAAATCAACCACCTGTTTCGACCATGTCACAGCAAATTCTACACCAGCAGCAACAATTTATTCCTACAAGTACATTGTATCCTTTATCAGGAGCTCAGGCGCAATACATGATGCAGTTTTCTGGTGCCCTGCAACCACAGCCACATCTACGCATTGAGCATCCTCCGGAACAACCGCAGCTTCAACTACCTATGAAGCAACAACTGCAGCCTCAGCCACGCTTGGAACCTCAGCCATAATTTGAACCACACACATACGGGGAGGACAAGCTTCGTTGCTCCACAGAGCACTGTGGGCTTTAGGCCAAACACCAGTAAACAATGATTTATTAAAATTTCACCTAGAAGGCTATGATAATCAATCTGATGCAAAATATTTACTTTTGGTTTCAAGCTCCAGTTTTTTGGTCCGAGACCTCCTATAAATTCAAAAAATTTAAAATCTGTTTCCTATTATCCAGAAGTTTTAAGGGATAAACTTTAAAAGAAAAACAACTTGGTCGTATTTTAGGCCCATTTAATAAAAAGCCATTACCTAACCTTAGGATAAACCCAGTGGGACTTGTGCCCAAAAAATCAGGTGGCTGGCGGCTTATTTCAAATCTTTCTCATCCTGACGGTTTTTCTGTTAATGATTTTATTGATCCGGATGTATGCTCTGTACAATATTCAAAATTTGATAATGCAATTGAAATTATACAAAGTTTAGGTACTTCTTCCCTCATTGCTAAAAAAGATGTTAAATCTGCTTTTAATTTATGTCCAGTCTACCCTGGTGACTTTGATTTATTAGGTATCAGTTTTGATGACACATACTGGATTCAAAAATTGTTGCCACAAGGAGCATCAATTCTTGTGCAAATTTTGAAAATTTTGCAAACATTATACAATTTTGTGTTTCAAAAAGGGCGAACTCTAATAATATTGATCACTTTCTAGATGATTTTTCTTTGCTGCTAAAAATAGCAATCAATGTCAAATGCTTTTAGATGCCTTTGATAGTATTAGTTATGATATGGGAATTCCTGTTAATGATGAAAAAACAGAAGGCCCAACCACGAAAATGGAATACTTTGGTTTCGAAATTGACACTGCTGAGGGCACCATTAAAGTGCCATCAGATAAAATTGAAAAAGCTAAATCCATGTTAGAAGAAGCTTTAAGTTCCAAAAAAATAACTTTGAAAAAATTACAATCAATGGTAGGTCTTCTTAATTTTTTCTCAAAAGCTATTCCATCTGGAAGGGCATTTAATTGCCGCTTATATGCAGCCATGTCTCAAGTTAAGAAACCATACCATTTAGTAAGACTTTCTTTAGGCATGAAAGAAGATATTAGAATTTGGTTGCTTTTTTTATATAATTTTAATGGTCAAACCATTTTTAGTGACCTTCTCTGGACACCTGACAATCAGCTTGAATTATTTACTGATGCTGCAGGTTCAAAAGAATTAGGATGTGGGGCATATTTCCAGGGTAGCTGGGTCTATTTTAAATGGGCAGATTTTTGGAATAATGAAACCATGAGGGACATCACTTTTTTAGAAGTTGTCCCTATCTTACTAGCATTTTTAACTTGGGATTCCAAATTGAAAGGAAAAAAGGTTATTTCAAGATCAGATAATCTTTCTGTCGTTGACATCATCAATAAAAAATCTTTTTGCAACTCTAGAGTTATGTATCTCATCCGTCATTTTATGTTAGCTCTTTTAATAAATAATGTACAAATTAAGGCCAGACATATATCTGGAAAGAAAAATCAAATTTCTGATGCTATTAGTCGATTTCAGTGGTCAACTCTATGGAATTTACTCCCAGAAGGAGCTTCAAGAACCCCATCACCAATCCCAGAATCCTTCCTTCAACTCTTCAAACAGAGATAGGCAGGTTTTGTCTGAAAATACCCATAATACTTATAATAGCGGAAGAAACGCCTTTGACACTTTTCGTATAAACATGCATTTTGGAAGATGTTGGCCCCAACCGTTATGGCATGTTGTTGAATACATTGCCTATATGTCACTAAATAATTATGCTTCTAAAACAGTAAATTGTCACCTTGCAGCTGTAAGTTACTATGATAAGATTAATGGTTATCTTGACGTAACACAGTCTTTCATTGTAAAACAAATGCTATCTGGTTTAAATAGAATTCAATTCCATAAAGATAACAGATTACCAATCACAATTAATTTGTTGCACAAATTACTTCCAAATTTGAAACATGTCTGCCAGCACGTTGTCTCTTTTTCAAAATATAAAAATTCAATTCAGACTGTCCGGAGTGTATTCAGCCATTTGGCTTTAGTAAAATTCACTTCCGATTGTCCGGAGTGTAATCAGCCATATGGGCTTTTAGTCATATTGTAATCATTATACTATATGTATTTCCGATTATCCGGAATACATATCAAGCCATTGGACAAAATTCTGCCAAAACCATAGTAAATAGTTTTTAATCTAAAAACTTGGGTTGTTTTATATCTTTCCTATCTTAATAAGTAAAATGTCTAACTTGCCATATATAAGCAAAAACGCTAATCACATCGTATTACCGACGGCAGTGATGGCAGATCACTGCAGTGATGGCAGATATCTGAAAATTACCGATCGATACAGGTAGGTTATAAATTTGGTTGGTTTAATTATATTACACAAATACGGCCCATTGCATTGCTATAAAACTATTGTCCATTATATAGAGATACTGTAAGGTAATTTTGGACTCGTTTTTTTCCCCTGTTTTAAGACTATTTTGAGCAGGTTAAAATCGACAGCCTCGGAAAAATCCGTGAAAATGTCTGTTTTCTGTTCAAAATATCTCAAGTTGTAAGTAAATGGCAGGATTTCCTGTTATTAATATAGACGTTTATCCATTGGGGTCACGCAAGCCAAATATCTACCCCGTGAGTCTTTTCTTGAAAGTTTTACAGACGCTCAATCTTGTCCGGTCGAAGAAAAAATGCTGCCGTTGTAGGCAGAAAAATATTATAAATGATGCCGTCGATGGCAGAAATACCACGAAAGTGCCTAACATTCTGACAGAAAATCAAGTTCAATCTTATATTATTTATAGCACGTGATGTTAGAACTGTTGTTAATAGTTTAGCATAGTAAATGTAATTCAAAGGCAAACTACAACGCTTTTACAAACATGAAAATTTAAAGAAATGAATCCACGTTGTCGTGTTTTTCAACAACTTGATAATGTAGGAAAAATATTTGAACTGTCAATAATATTATCTTTTTATTTTACATTAACATACATTGTTTGATGATACACTGATGCCAGTTGCGAGGTTAATAGTCTCCCCTTTATTCCATCAATTTAATAACTTAAAATCTGCGCCGATTAAGTAAATTTCAGCCTTTATTTGTCATAAAGCGATGAACATTATTACCTCGAGAAAATAATGTCATATGCTAGCAAATGAATATCCACTTACAGAAGTTACTTGCTGTAAAATGCAATTGGCGTTATGTCTTAAAACGGGAATGCGCTGCTGAACTTAAGATACATATAGTATTGTATGCAAGTAACTGACAGACACAACAGATCAAGCACACATGCATGAATATAGAAAAATGAAGTTTTTCATGTTCATTTCTCTATTTATAGTGCAATTTTGTCGTACTAAATCATCACTTTTGTATTGTAACTGCATGTTGCTAAAAAGCTTTTTTCGATGCACATACCGCATTAATAACTTTTCTATCTTGAGAAAATATTAGAAATGATATTTTAACGTCTCAATTCCGACTTAAAGGACGCAAAGAAAAGAGGAATTGATAAAAGATTGAACTTGATTTTCTGTCAGAATGTTAGCCACTTTCATGGTATTTCTGCCATCGACGGCAGCATTTATAATATGTATCTGCCTACAACGGCAGCATTTTATCTTCGACCGGACAAGATTGAGCGTGTGTAAAACTTTCAAAAAAAGACTCACGGGGTAGATATTTGGCTTGCGTGACCCCATTGGATGAACGTCTATATTGATAACAGGAAATCCTGCCATTTACTTAAAACTTGAGATATTTTGAACAGAAAACAGACATTTTCACGGATTTTTCCGAGGCTGTCGATTTTAACCTGCTCAAAATAGTCTTAAAACAGGAAAAAAACGAGTCCAAAATTACCTTACAATATCTCAATTCAATGGACAATAGTTTTATAGCAATGAAATGGGCCGTATTTGTGTAATATAATTAAACCAACCAAATTTATAACCTACCTGTACCGATCGGTAATTTTCAGATATCTGCCATCACTGCAGTGATCTGCCATCACTGCCGCCGGTAATACGGTGTGTAATTTAAATTCTCCGTAGCTTTCGGCCTTGCGGCCTTCTTCAGCAGCATTTATTTTACATACCTATGTACATACCTGATCTCAATTATCTGATAAAAGGACGATAAGCAAGGTCAGCTCATTTTATTTCAATTCAATTTTTTTTCAATTAACATATTGAGCATTCTTTTTCCCTCTGAAATACACTCAAGTCAAATCCTAACCCGATTAGATTATGTAGTAATATTACTAAAAATAATGAAAGCTCTACGTGTATGCAGATGAAAGAAAATAGCGAGTCGTGTCCTCTTTATAATTGGCATTATGCGAAATCTTGTATTTTAATAATGGTTTATTAGAGGGGAGATAATCATGTCTTATTATAATGTTAATTGGGTTATACTAGTTTCCTCCCTTTTTGAAGTCTCTTGAAAAGGTAAAAGCTGTTTCGTATTTGTTAGAGTATTTACACATCATAATGTTTAATTTAAACGATCAAAACCAACCCTGTCCCTCCCTAATGATTTCTGCCTTTGTTGTGCTTTCCTAATTTATATTTTCAGATGTATCTATGAAGAACTTTCATCATGAATGTATTTCATTGAAACAAAACGTCATGGCTGGATTTACAATGTGACCGTTGACATTTGAGACAAGTGCTTACAGACATTATTATTTAGTAATATTAAGTTAGTTTTTGTTATTTGTTATTTCTCTTCCGAGTGTCCGGAGTGAAATCAACATTCTTGTATATGACATTATATATGTATCAGTCAGTCATTATATCATAACAATATATGTTTAAGGCATGGCATTTGCCAGCACGTTGTCTCTTTTTCAAAATATAAAAATTCACTTCCGACTGTCCGGAGTGTAATCAGCCATATGGGCTTTAGTAAAATTCACTTCCGATTGTCCGGAGTGTAATCAGCCATATGCGCTTTTAGTCA